TCTATTAATTAGTAGATGCTATATACTTTCCCAGGCTGTTTCTGTTTCTAGGGGTCACTACTTATTATACCATTTTAAGTGGCTGTAACTTGGAAGTTCACACACTGTGCTATACTAAGTAAATAGTAACAGACTGGGCCATTCTGTTCTCCTCTGGGAGGTCTGCCTCTATCACATTAGACCTATCTGGCTCCTTTGGAAAGCATGAACAAACAGCGCCCACTCGACTGTTTCCACGCAGTGCAGCGCAGTGACAGCCTTTTTTTTTTAACAGAGAGGACAGATTAGTTCAGGTGTGTCTTGGCTTAATCATTAAACCCTGGCTTTATCCAGTTAAATCCTCTGCCGACCTCTTTAGATCGGTGAATGCTGGGACCTTTGCCTGAGCTTTTACAGCATTGTGTTATTCTGCTTTTTGTTTTCTGGGAAAAATGTTGGAAAAGATCTTGCTCCTGCTCAGTTTGTCATTTTCTGTGGCGGAAGAGCTCTGTAAACCAGGTAAGGCTCTTAAAATGTAACCTTTGGTCAAATATTGTGTGTTCACATTTTTTAAAAAAAATACATAAATTCATTAATATGAGTAAACACAGGCTTTGTGTACAGGAGTTTTATCCCTTCTTAGCCCAGAAGTCAGTGTGGAATGCAGCTTCTAATCTCTTTACTGGAACAAAGTCAGATTAGACACATAACTTAGCATTTACCTCACAACAAGAGTTTCATTCATTCCATCGTGGTTGTAGACTTGAACAATGATCCTAAAATTGCTAATCTACAACCAAACTATGAGGAAATAGCTGAGAGAGACTAAATTTGATGCTGCTGCTCTTGGGATTCAGTCTATCAGCACAGGAAAGATAAACTGCAGCAGCTACACTTCTCATCTAAAGCCTAGCACAGCAATTCATGGCACGCAGAGGACATTTCAGTCTGTTTTTATCTTTATAGGTGTTGGAGAAGCCTACAAAGTTCGATTCAGCATCAAAACCGCACTGGGAGATCAAGCTGTATGTATTTAAATATTCCTCCACATCCTCAGATCGCTCTTCTTGCCATAAACAGCTCTGACTTCATAATATTAAAAACAGGAATGCAATCCCATTTCCTTAAAAATTTGAATGTTTTGTGAATTATAAATAAAGAAAGGAATGATTTCCAACCTATATTTACAAAGAAAATGTGGTGGAACTGAGAAATGTGATCGTTCATGTCCAGCATTACAATCAGTTGAAGTTCCAGGTGCAACAATAGACCGGAAAAGCTGTGTAATGCTAAAAAAAACAAGCAAACACCTGCTTTGGACACATCTTAGTAATTAGATGAACAGGATTACGTATAAAAAAAACCATGCTAGGCAGGGTAAGTCTTTCGGAACACGGGGAGAATTTCAATACTCTGGCACAGATTTGTGGAACAAACAGAGAGAATTTTAATCTTCTACAGTACACTGATCATAGATAATATCATTAATGTTTCAGAGAATCCAGCAAAATCTCTATACGCAAGAGAAAAGGGCTGAAAATCACTGCTGAATGGCTGTCATGCCCTCAAAGAACACTTTAATATAAATCAGACCTGAATCTGGAGTGAACATCACCGCATGGGCTCAGGAATACTTTTGAAAGTTCAAAGTGTACCGTGCAAATAAAAAATACATGCAGAAACAAGATCCAGAGATGCTGCTGTCTCCGTTTATGGAGCTCATTCAAAAGAGATTGAGACAAAGAGGAAAAACCTCCTGAACAGCTTTCCTCTTTAAGATCTGTGATGGCACTGAGTGCTTTTGTGAAGATACCACGGGCAACTTGCAAATCTTTAAAGGCACCGTTGAAACTCCACGATGCACTCACTAGCCACTTTATTAGGACCTGCTTCTATCTACCTTAATCCTTTGTCTCAACAAAGCGGTAAAAACATTTCTTTAGAGTTTTATGCAGCGACTGCAAATTTTGTACGCACATCCATTATGTGAATCTCCCTTTGCACATTCCAAAGGTGTCTGTTGGGCGGAGATCTGGTGACTGTGGAGGTTATTTGAGTACACTGAACTCACTGTCATGCTCAAGGAACCAGTTTGAGATAATCTGAACTTTGTGGCTGGGTTGTTATTGTGTTGAAAGCAGCTATTAGAAGATGGGTACACTGTGGTCACAAAGGGATAGATGCTGTCAGCAACAATGCTCAAGCAGGATGTGGCCAAAAAATATCCCCCACCCTATTACAACACCAGGAGCATCCTGAACTGTTGATACACAGCATCCATGTGTTCATATCATTTAGACCAGGGGTGTCCAACTTCAAGCCTTGAGTTGGACACCTGCAGGTCCTGCAGGTTTTAGATCTCACCCTGGGTCAACACACCTGAATCAAATGATTAGTTCATTACCAGGCCTCTGGAGAACTTCAAGACATGTTAAGGGGTAATTTAGCCGTTTAAATCAACTGTGTTGGATCAAGGACACGTCTAAAACCTGCAGGACAACGGCCCTCGAGGCCTGGAGTTGGACACCCCTGATTTAGACCAAATTCTGACCTTATTAATGCTCATCTTTCTAATCTTCTATTGTCCAGTTTCCTGCTCTTAGCTGACAGGAGTGCTTCCCGGTGTGGTCTTCTGCTTTCTGCTTCAAAATTTGGTGTGCTATGCGTCGAGAGATCATCTTCTGTGTGGTTGTAACTAGTAGTTATGAGTTGCTTTTGCCTTCCTGTTAACTCAAAGCAGTCTGGCCATTGTTCTCTGACCCCTTTGCATCGACAAGGCATTTTCACATAGAGAACTGCTGCTTACTGGATATTTTCTCTCTGTTTTCTGGACTGTTTTTTTTTGTTACAGATGGTTGTGTGCGAACATCTAAGCAAATCAGAAATTCCTGAAATACTCAGAACCCGGACGTGTGGCATTAAAAGCCACTGACATGCATGCTTGCATGTGGTTGGACAATTAGATATGTATGTTAATGAGCAGTTAAACAGATGTACCTAATAAGGTGGTCGTGATTGCATACGTAGATTTTAAAATTGAAAGTCTTGCTTATTTCAGCAAGAAAATGCCAAACCACATTCGTTGGGTACTGCGGCAGAGAAAATCGAGAATCGAGAGATTAAACGGTCTGTTCAGACCTGTTAGGCATTCACCGTTCTGCACATTATGAAGGAACAAATATGACAGAGGAGGCCTCAAATATCAGCAGCGATACAGCAGCAGTAAGTGTTTGGAAATTTCCAAATACTTACAGAGGGAGTAGAAATGCTACTTTTCCAATTTAAATGCAACTTGCTGATGGTATGAAATTTAAGACACACACACACTAACTAATTTCCAAATCATTAACTTCTGCTTTTATTAATATTTTACACGCCATCATTTTAGAGTCATGGTTACAATCAAGTGCTTAATATTAGCCAGAATTCTCTTAAAGTGCATGTGACTGCTTAATATGAGGCCAAGGTCCATGTGGCAAACAGTTAACCTTTGCTGAAAAACAGTCCCTGATCTGATGTTGCTGATTTTGCAGTATCCCTGGAACAAAAATGAAATGTTCCTTTTCCGGGCAGCTCTGGCTTTTGCCATGAGGGATTACACTAACGGAGAAGAATTTGGGTAAGACTGTTTTTGTGTCATCTGTTCTTAAACAGTTGTAAAAACATAATAGAACATCTCTTAACACGATAGGTGACTCACATTTTATAACTTCGCTTTTATTGTCTTGTAAACCTTCACCAGGGTTTCAGACGTCCATCCGTGTAACGAGACTCCGAGAGTGTCCTTCTGGTTTGTGGTGACGAGGCCGAACAACACCGAACTTGTTGATAAAGGAACTGTGGAGATGGCTATAAAGTAATCACATGCTACAGTTTTAGTTATTGGTACTATTATTGTTATATTTTCTTATTAGCTGGATGTAAATAATGGATGTTAAAGTATTTTTTTTAAACATTTATTACCCATTTTATCATTTCCTAGAAAATTCTAAAATGACTAATAACTAATGGGTTTTCCAAATAAATATAAATGGGTAGCGTAATTATGTTCCCAATGAATGTTTGGCTCACATATGGTGCAAAAGTGCAGCTTTCTAGATTATGTAGCGCAGGAACAGGTGTGTCGTGACATTTTTTAATATTTTGCTTTAACACGTGTGCCTGTGTCATGGAGATTTGCCACTGCCAGAGGTTTGTTTTCTTTTGAACAAGGCTTCAAAGCTCCAACCTAAACCATAAACCACAAACCCGATCACTAACCTTAACACTTCAAACACTTTGCGTTCAAACACCATCTATTTTATGTATGCATGCATGAGCAGGTTTACCCTGGGTTATGCAGTGTGGCCATAGAAACGAAGTCGATCCCTTTTATTTTTATGAAGTAACAGGTTATTTTTGTACTTAAGTGAACATAATTTCCCTCATGTAGGTAATGAGCATTCTCATTTAAACGTTTCCATCCATCCATCCATCCATCACACTTTTCTGGTCACCAGTCCATTACAGGGGAAACAGAGAGAGACGGCTGTTCACGCTCACACACAAGCCTGCTGTCTCCTTGGATTGTGAGAGGAAGCCAGGAGTGACAGGAGAGAAGCCACACAGGCAGGGGCACAATATGCAGTGTCCA